TCAGACCCCATTCCATAGAGCATATATACGGGGAAGTCGAGCTTGCTACATAGATAGGCTGATGTGACGTCAAAATGATGGACTACCTTGCGCTCGAAGGCGGTTTTGGCGAAAAAGAGGCGGAGGGCAGTAGAGTGGACTGCTGTGACATAAGTGCCAGTGAAACGGCCCCCATGCTGTTGTTCGTCTCCGCGAGCACCTATTCGTGCCTCGTAGCGTGTGAGCTGTCCATACTTATCATGCTTGAGGGCGAAAACGTATTTGCTATGAATGATGGTCGAATGCGGGGGGACATTAGCCAGTGCAATGATATTTGCGAGATCATTTCGGATGTGATTGGCACGTTCTGTTTCGATGGCAGCTGCCCAGGATGGCCAAGATTTGGATTCGTGTGCAAATGCGATATACTCCGGGACGTTAGGATCGTGGAAGGAAGCAGCTTCGAAGAGCGTCACTTCGGTGCGTGTGGTTAGCGTGATCGATCGTACCGAGGGAATATGGTCAGGGTGATAGGTGCATTGGCAGAATCGGCAGGTGGACGTGCATCGTGAAATGTCGTCGTTCAAAGAGACATCCGGGTCAGAGGTAGGGAATCAATCAGTGAGTGCGGGGTAGGTGGCGGGGGCGCCGTCTGTATGTGAGTGGGAGGTCGGGGAAGAGGTGTTGGTGGAAGTGGTTTTCGAGAGCGAGGGACGTTGAAGGAATGTGGAAGCGGAGCCAGTGGTGTGCTAAAGACGACAGGAGGTCCTGGCCGGTATAGGCGGCAGTGGGCTTTCAGGAGTGTGGGAGGTTTGGTGTGGGGTGACAATAAATGTTGGGGTGACTAGGGTGAGTGGCATAGTGAGGGGGGTGGGGGGGGGGTGGAGGGTGGAGGGGTGGTGCAGGTGTTGGAAGGGGTGTGTGCGGACGTGTTGTGGGGTTCGAGGGTGTGGCTGGGGAAGATTGGTTAGGCGGCGAAAACTGAGACGAGTTGGAAGAGGGAACAGCATTGTTGTCTGCAGTCGGAGTAGGGCTGATGGGCGAAAAGGCTGGGAGCAGTTGGGCATCCTGTGATTTAGGTGGGAGGTTGGTGAGAGACTACAGTAGAATACGTATTTCTATATACATTAATAACGGTTTACGTCGTCAGCCCAAGAGTAATTTGGGACTTGTTCTCAAATTAATATGAGTATAGGTGGGTCAGCCCGAGAGAACGTAAGAGTAATTTGAGACTTCTTCTCGGATTATTCTATTTATAGGACACGGGCCACCGGCTAGCCGAGAGCCGAGGTCGAGACTGAGTATAGTAACAGAGAATATGATATATTTATTTCTAGAAAATATATCCTAGTGCTAAAGTGTTCTGCATAAGGTTTCTCATACTGATCATATGAGTTTTTACCCTGGCCAACCCAAGTGGTCGAACACTAGTACAAACACCATCAGTATATAATTGAGGGTGAGATCATGAATAAATTCACTTGAACGCACCATGCTTTAGATACACTAGCACTTTACTGTTAGTCCCCCACACAGCACTCTAACAGTTGGATTGTTTGACATCGGGTACGAGCTGGCCGATAGGAGGAATGTGGCCTTGGAAAGGGATGATAGTGTCCGGAGAGCGGGTTGAGAGAAATCAGTCATGGGGAATGTTAAAAGAGCTAGGTGTGGCAGACCGAGTGGCCGTTCGGTCATCTGGGGTCCATTGTGCATTTTCTTCGGTGATGAACTGAATGTCTTGGGTGTCGATTTGGCGCTGTGTTGCGAAATTCTGCAGACGGTAGCAAAAGGGAGTAGAATTGATACTTCGGCCAATCAAAACGCCGAAACCCATCTGTGGGTCATGTTTAAGGGTGCGTTTTGCAGTTTTGCCACGAAGTTTGAACATGACTACGCATCCAAACCGTGCTTTGTGATCCCGTGGGCGAGCTTCCTGTAAGAAATTTTGTGCGGGGGTGCGAAGCTTATCGTTTCCTCCCAGAGTCCTATTGCGTATATATTCGACCCAGAGTAGAACATCTTCCCAGCCAGGGCGAGGCATGCCGGAATCAATGAGTAAAGACGAATTAATCCGTCACGGGTGTTATGTGGTCTCCCAACTTTGGCGTTTCGCGATGTGGAATAAGTAGGCGGGCGACTGAGTTGGATGCGGCGTTGGAGAAGTACATCTTTTATTTCCTTACTGTTGAATGATTTGTCGTTATCAGCTGTAAGAGTATCCGGGACCCAGAATACCGGGACTTCCATAAGTAGTCGGTCAATGATAATAAACATAGTTTGTTTATTAGGGAGTGCTTTGTGAAAATCGTCACAGGTACCAGCATCGAACATATTTAAAATGTATCTGTTTTCGTAGCGGCCGGGTAGGAGCGGGCCCTGGAGGTCAGTGTGGAATTGTTCTTCCGAGCCGTAAATAGACCTATAAAAATCTGATTTCAAAAAAAAAATGGGACAACGGATTTTTACGCACATGTTTTTGTTTGTTATTATCATTTGTAAATCAGTACAAACTGCGTTCTGTTCAAAGTTACCAAGCGCAGCACTAGGCCTACATAAGCCATCACGGGGGTGGAGAAGATTTTCTCGTACATTAAGATCAATGGTACCATCATCGCACAGCTGAAGAGAGAACAGACGCACATCTCCACACTTCAATCGCTCACAGAGAACAAGTTTTGTTATATCGACGCATCAAGAATCCTCCATATAGCGTTAAGGAGGTGCATTAATAGCAACTTTATCAATGCTTTAGAGTTAGCTCGCGGAATACATGTACACCACAACAACGGTTCAAGTGATGCCTTGGAGAACGAGATTGTAGATTGCTTTAAACTGGCGTATTCAAACTGCAAAACAATACTTGGATGCACCCCTATTTTTGTGTTTGATGGCGATATACCAGATGCCAACTGCCGAGAGAAGGAGGAAAGAAACGCTGAAGCCGCTCGAGATTGGCAAAAATGGCAAGAACTCGATAAGGCACAGCTGGCATCATCAAATAACGGTATTCAATTGTTGTCTGCAGTTTGTATACGCACCTGGGAACACACTCGAACAGCTGCAAATGCTTGTATGACGATGCGCACAGAGTACTATATCGCACCCTTTCACGAAGCTGATTCACAATTTGTATACTTGTGTTGACTACACGAAATTGGGACCTTGCAGCGGCAGATGATTCTGATTTTTCAGTGTACTTTGGCGTGAATGTGTGCTTCGGTCTCATTACCACAGTTTTTAGGGTATGTATGTTTGCATCAGAACAACGGGTTGCATTTTGCAAGACTAAAGGCCTTACTGATCACAATTTTATGGTATATGCTTTATTGAGAGGTTGTGAGTATACAAGACACTTGCACAAGTCAAGACAATATTTATTTGGATTACGTATGGATTCCGTAATGCCATTAGTCATTGAATATATATCAAAATGTATAGAAAGTCGAACATATGATATTTTAGCGGCTATGAAAAGACCCTTAAAAAAGTGATATACACCATTATGTGAGAAGGCTTTCAGACAAGGATTACACGCATACAGAAGTAGTTGGGTAACCGATCGAACGAGAACGAAGTGTATCGCGCTTACAGGGCAGGATAGTATGCCATCAGATGAGGTCGCATTGGCTGGGTTATCTCTTCATCCTGATATAATCACAGTATATAGTATGGGCGAGTATGATTCTTTCACAGAGCAACAGTGTACAGAACAAGCATTCGGGGTGTGTGATGTGCCGGAGATATTCAAAGATACTTATGTGATAATCAAGTTTAAAAACTGGCATAAATTTCCATATATACGAACGGAGGCAATGATAGATTTATTCGGTATTGCTGCGTATACCAATGGACGCTCTCGAACGGCTGCGCACGTAGAAGAGCATGTGAGTACTTCAACTTTTCACGAAGCAAAAAAGGTTGTAAATGAATGATTATCAATGTAGGCGCGGATTTTTCAGGAAATAGTAGTAACGATGTGTTTGTGTGTGCGAGTGTTCCTAGCTCACTAATTTCATCATCTATGAAAGCATATGCACTGATATCGTGCGACTCATAAGGGCATTGTTAGGTGAATAACGGTTATTATGTATACCCGCTTGGCATTGGTGGTAAATGCGTGCCCGTGGCGTCTTTAGTTTGGACGTTAGTGCAGCAAAGTGGATGGGCGGCAGCGAATGAATTGGAGAGATATAAGTATGATTCCAGTATGTAGGTCTCTGACGATGGCGAAGACAGCGATGATTTGTGTACAAGCAAAGAAAGCAAGTGGGACGCGCAAAGCTTTGTTTCTGGCAATATAGATGAGGATATAGAGCGCTTAATATATCTTACTATCATCGAGAATCCGAAAATAATATCGGAGCGCCAGGATAAATTCACAGAATCAAAGCACACTGAATTGGCAGAAGGATCGTCGGCCATGGAAACTGACAGATCAATTGCTGCACAGCTTCGAAAGCCGCACAAGAGTCTAGTAACAAAAGAGTGTGAACGCCCTGTAATGGAACCACTAAAGAATAGACTTTTCACAAATTCCGTATTTGAGGGCTCGCATAAGGAATTCTGGGAAATGACAAAGCGTCACTGGATGCTGTATGTAGAGTATGGAGAGTAGCTGAAAGGTACGAGACAATAGGATACAATAGACCTCTTCTCAAGTACGGTTATTTCAACTAGGAAAAGTCCCTAGTCTGAAAGAACCGAACTGAATCTTTATTTGTGTTTTCACTAGACTCAGGATTTACTTGAGTGTTTCTCTCACACGCGGGAGTCCCGGTATATTTTACCGGTTCTACCGCTAATATTTCTGGCGACTTTAATATCAGAAATATTCCAATCCTAATTCCAAACTCAGTATTTGATGAATGTTAGAGTGCAATGTAGTAGACTTTAAATAAAGTGCAAATGTATACATTTATTTCTGACCTCACTTTTTATCTTCCCGGTTCTACCGCTAATATTTCTGGTGACTTTAATATCAGAAATATTTCAATCCTAATTCCAAACTCAGTATTTGATGATTGTTAGAGTGCAATGTAGTAGACTTTAAATAAAGTGCAAATGTATACATTTCTTTCTGACCTCACTTTTGGTTTTATACCTAAGGTGTTGTGATAGTGTTCAGCCGCTTGGGCTGGCCAGGGTAAAAACTCATATGGTCAGTATGAGAAACCTTATGCGGAACCCTTTCACACTTCGATGCTTTTCTATTTCAATCTTCTCTGTAACTAAATCTCACGCTGATCACATGATGCCTTTCCGCATAGGTTGTGACTCACATAGAACCGCTGTTATTATTATAATGTTGCGGTTGACAGGCTTAATCCATTCTCGGGAAGCGGTTGAGAAACTTATCCTGATCTCGGAAGTCGGTTAAGTAATAACTCAACTCTTGGGAGTAATTTGAGCAACCTGACTATATAGTAAACACATCAAAATACGATACTAAAACCTACTGAGTTTCCCTGAGGCTCAGTGCGGTGTATTTATTCTTATATTTGATTGTCTACGTGATCTACAAATAATCCACCTCGTGTGAATTAATTGTAAACTAATTTTAACTCCACACTGATAATGGTTTAAGGGGACTTTTACTGCAATCAGCTCTCGGGAGTGAGCTAACTCTGATGACCTAGCTCTCGGGAGTGAGCTAACTCTGATGACCTAGCTCTCGGGAGTGAGCTAACTCTGATAACTGCCATAAGTCAAAGATGGTTTCTTGCTGTGAAATCTGGCCTGAGACCTGTAGTCTCTCAATGATTATGGGTTTTGGGTTTTGGATTGGCTTTTTGATAATCTGGTTCCTAGATTCTATAGCCCCCCAACTTTATGCTTCTTAGAGTAGAAAGTGACATCTTACAGTACTAGATTATCTATAGGTTGGCGTTTGTATACAGGGAAAAGTTTGTCTCTTAGAGGGCATAAAATTAAGAACCTGTCACCATTATCTATTACATATTACCGATTAATTAAATTTATACTATAGCAGGAGTCCTCTACCACGCTCATCGGAGTCAGTCTTGACCGGTGTAGTCTTGACCGGTGCTCTCGGTTGATGTCAACTTGGCTTATAAAAACGCATCTCAACGGTGGCTCTACAACCGAGTCTCTGGTCCTTGTCTCTCTGGTGTGTGGGGGGAACATGCTTCTAGGCGAGAAAAGTGGGAGTGTCCTGTGGTATCAGTGAGACTTGCTCAGGTCCCCCGCCTCTTGCGCTGTCTGTGGCTCGCTGATCTTTCATCAGTGCTCGTTGTCGCTGGCTTCTTTGGCCTTGACTGCCTTCTTTTACATCTCCTGCGTTGACGGTATGTTGTAATGACATCAGCATCTGCGATGTCTGATTCATGTGTCCAGGTACGCTCACCATCTGTCCATTGCAGTAGGTACTCCTGGGATCCATCACCTCGGATGGACGGCCTGTCGTCGACTAGCGATGAGAACTGAGTCTCTTCGTTTGGTTGTACGTGATTGTTGGAAGCAAATGCTTCCGGAGCACTGGCCCTTTTTACGAGGCCAAGTAGCTCATCACTGATCGAGTCAGGATATTCGGGGGCTTTAGTCCCATCAAGGTAACAGACAAAATACCCGTTGCCCTCCCTGCATACTATTTTGTATGGTCCGCCATTTGGTGCTGTTAACTTGTTCATTTCACCTTGATAGCGGACCATGACAAGGTCCCCTTTCTGGAAGTTAACATACTTCTGTTGGTAATTTCGATCGGATGCTGCTCGCGTCTTCTCATGATACTGTGCAACATTGCTTTCTAGTTGTGGCCTAATGGCTTCTTCTAGATTTTGCAGTCGCTCTTACCAAGATACTGTTGTACTGGATGCGGTCACTGGCTCATTGTAGTCCGTGAGTTGATTCTGCCTGCGACCAAAGTACACATTAAAGCGCGGTGACTTGTGTCTTCTGGATGTACGCAGATTATGGCCCATC